GGCATAACTTGCCAGATTTGTGGACTCTGTCAGATTTCTATTTATGAGTAGAATGTGAATTGATATAAATAATTGAATATAAATAATGCTATATTTACAAAGATCTTTATATAAAAGTGATGTGATAAAAAATAAATGGAATAGTGAGTATAATGAGTTTAACTTTTTGTTTCACTCTTCCATTCATTTTTTGCTACCTCACTTTGTATGGTAATTTTTATAAGATTTATTTGTAAGTATAATATTATTGATTGAATATATATTCTGATTACAATAATACTAATCTTACAAACACGAATACAAAGAGGGCTATACAAAGTGACATGGCAGATGACATGGCAATGCCACATCATCTGACACGTTATCAATGAATATTAATTTTTTATTCTAATTTTCTATTTCTTCTTCTCTGTTTCTTTATTTACTTTGTTGTTTCAATTTTAATTTTTTTCAATCTTCTTCTCCATCGCTGTCTTCTCTTTCGTGCACTTCTCCAGTTCTCCTGTCAACTCTTCTCCATCTCCATCGCGCTCTTCTCCCTGCCGACAAACCAAACCCTAACCCTAACCACTGAAATTATAGAGAGTCTAGCCCTATCGTTTCAAAGCTTATAAAATCTTACGGAGGAACCAAAAGAGAGAAGTGAATAGAGTGACTGCCATGGATTCCCCGAAATTCCGTTGCTACCTTCGCCAGAAAAGTGTGTCTCTCAATACGGATCCCAAGTCCTCTTTCAATTGAATTTATGTTAGACTTTGATTCTAATTGTTCATGGAAAGTGCTTTGTTTTGTTCTCAATTATCTTACTATCAGTGTCATATTTATATACTTATGTGCATTATTTTTACTTCAACCTTATTTCAGTCATTATTAAGATTCATTCATTGCATTCATTATTCTTAATCGATGCTCTTAATTTTTTTTTTTCATTGCATCTTAATGAATTGCATGATACTGTTACCATTTGACACTGTTTCTTAATCTTGTATTGCAATTGGGGCCTCTATTAGTCTTGTAACATCAATGAAGAAGCGGTCAAAATTGCCATATCGCAATGTAGCATACTTGAGACTCTGGATGTACGCTTTTGTCCAAAGGTGAGATTAAACTTGTGTGTATTATTAATGAATTAGTTCTTCATGCGATAGAAGTTTCGTTTATTTATTGTTCATGAGTGATTATTAAACTTTTTGGGAAGTGGTGTGTGGTTTACTGTTTACTTATTTATCTTTTTTAAGTAGGTATGTTCAATGAGTATGGGGAGGTTACATGCAGCATGCCCTAGTTTAAAGCACATCTTCAGCAACATGACGCCTTCATAAAAGATAAAATGATGGAAAATTTTGTTTGTTTTACCATTTTCCAGTGTAGTGGGGTTTATTTCGGTAAGGTGGCAACTAGCTTGATATGTTTGCCGTATGCTTGTCAAGATCTACTATCTATGTTATTGTAAATGGTATCCTCTTTTCTGCTGTTCAGTTTTTTCTTTTTTCTTTGATTTTATTATTGCTTTGTAATAACTTATTTCTACTAGTATATTTAGAAAAAATATATTATGATAAAAGTATATTTATAGCAAATGAAAAATAGATGGGCTAAATTTTTTTCGTTATTAGACATATATTATTCTGTACATAGCAAAATAACATACATATATATAAGCTTTTACAACCGTGGACAGTAATGCCATTTCTCTCCGCTTGTCGACATCCCTTCAACCGCTGCTCACCTATTTCCTGCAAAACATGGGAAACAACGGGGTGAGCACAAAAATGCTGAGTAAGTAAATCCTTAATCTCTTCTATTCCCGCAACTTCTTCTTTGGTTCTTTGCTTACTTAATTCTTTTCTTCTTCATTCTTAGTTCTTTCTCTAGTTCTAATTTTCAGTGCTCTTTCTTTCTTTCTAATTCTCCCTGTTCTTTCTTTCTCTCTGTTCTTTCTTTCTAATTCTTTCTAACCATGAGAGAAGTCATGGTAATATGCATGAATGAAATGAATATGCAATAAGCATAGAAAATGCATTTCTTTCTTCTTTCGATTTTTTATTCTATTTCTTTCTTTGCTTGTAAGCTTTCTATTTTTTCTTATTCTTATTCTTTCTTTTTCTTTCTTATTCTTTCTTTCTTTATTTTCTTTACCGATCGGACTCGGTTGATGCATGGATTCGAACCCTGGCCATGTGAGTGAGATATAGTCCTCATCGCATGACTCTTGCGGACCGTACAATTCTTTCTTTCTTCTTGGCCACTCAATTAAGGTGGCGTGTATATAGGAATTCTTCTGGTACAACCCTCATCCACAAACACTCTTACGGGTCGTACAAATTTTCTTCTTCTTATGCCACTCAATTAAGGTGGCGTGTATGTGAGAAATTCTTCTTCTTAGCACTCACGGGTTCCCCATCGCAACAACCTATTCTTTCTCTTTATTCTTAGAATTCTTATTCTTCTTTAGATTCTCATGCATATGTAAGTATAGCATATGGATGGCTCATGCTTGTTTATTTCTTAAGTGCAATTATGTATGTTGACAAAAATAAGTTCTCTACTTATGCATAAGCTTCTCTTAGGCATTTCATCAAAATCATGCTGATATTTAATTCTATTTTTGATACATCTCTACTTCTTTCTTTAACTATCCATTCATGGAGAAAACTCCTACAATAAATCTAACATGGCCAAGAAAAACACTTCAAATATTCTACTTAATTTCTTTCTACGTGCACCAAACTTACTTGTGTTACCACAATCTCAACTCTACTCTCTCATGGCTCAACTCTACTTCTCATGGCTCAATCTACTCATCAAGACATTTATTCATCAATAGTCCATTCTCACCCATCAAATTCAACTCATAAGCAATACATGCATATCAAAGTAGTTGATTGCTAAATCTTAGCTTGGGTTGGATTTACTTACCTTTGCTTGAGTAGTTCCACAAGAAAACTCTTTATCTTGTTGGACTTGTTCTTCCTCTTAAACCCTAAGCATAACTAATAAGAATTCAACATTAACACAACTTAATCTTATGTCTAGAACAAGAATCCTTACCTCTTGATGCTTAGACAAATCCTTATAAAAATCCAACCAAAGCCCTTAATTTCCTTTAGCAAATGGATGAAGAGTTGAGAGAAATGGAGGTAGTAGAAGTGTATGAGGTGTAGAGAAGGGAGGGTTTCTAAGGCTAAACCCTTTTTAGCTGATATAAATAAACACTCTTTCCCATTTTGCCCTTACACTTTCTTGAAAATTCATCTTGTCCTTCATTCCTTACAAATTCACCCCATTCTAAAATATTCCATGAAATTTCCTTGCATTTCACTCTCCACTTTTCTTGCTAATTAGGGGTAGAATGGGTCACTTACCCCTATGAAAAATTCTCTAAAAACTTCACAAGGAAAAATAGCCAGCTCGTCGCCCTGGCGAAAAAATACAGAGCCTACATCGCCGCGGCATTCACACAACCATATCAACATACAAACTTAGCCAAGCACCAATTTACCACATTAAGGCAAAAAAACATAAATCAAAGACGTACCTCAAAGTGGGCGTTACATGCTTTGTATGGGTACTATTATACCATCTGTGGCTGTCCTTGTGTATCAACACAATAAATGTTGTTCTATGTTCATTATCATTGTTTGTTATCTTGAGCTTTTTTTTTTCTTGGTGCAAGTTGGTGATTATTTTGGCCTGACAATCGTATCATTGTTAGTCAATGCCTTGAAAAGTTGAAATATAGAAAATGGAATTGCAAGGAAATGTGACCAAACTTGAAGTTCTCATTGTTGCGTGCTTTATATTATGAAACAAAGACGAAATATTGACTTCTCTTCATACGATATTGCACCCTGTATAATAGTGTTACTTTAGCCAAGTTCCTTATTTGTTTTTCCTAGTTATTAAATTTACCAAATTGGACTTCTTATGGATTGATGGAATTGGAAGCTGACAGAAATCACCATGGAAACATTGGATTGGAGTTGATCTGAGTAACTTTTGAATTTGGATTGAATAAATATTATACAAATTAAATATTTTTACTTTCTTGATAAAAAGTGATTAAAGATGGCTTACATAAGAGTAAGTGAAATTAAAATAACACCTCAATAACTGCACCATCTAATGGTTATAAAGAGGCAATGTTAGCCTATAAATTTGAGTTGTGGTCAATGTTTCCAGTTGAGGTTCATATCATCATACCATGATAAGACTCAATATACTGCAAAACTTAACCCTTCCATGTGTCAATCTCTCACAAAAGATGATGGAGCAAATTGTCACCAAAATATGCACATAAATTTATAGTATTGACTCCAACTCTTTAATTTCTAGGTCCAACATTTCGCTTCTTTCCTCTTTGTCTGCACGTCTATAAGCATCGCTAAACTTTTCCTTTATTAAAACTTCAGAAGGGACAGTATGGAGGGGCTGTAAAGGGAAGAACATCATGAAACTGAAGTTTGTCTAGACAAGTATTTATTCAATAGCTAAGAGAGAACGAGAAAGAATGATATGATTTTTTTTGTTTGTTTGAGAGCTAGCTAGTGAATTATGTACTTAGAATCAGACTTTTAATGAAGGCTCTATAAAAAATGCAAACAAAGCATTACCTATCCAGTGCATTAAGAGCATTCCAAACTTTGCTTTCATTGATTTCAAAGAAATTTCTCTTTCATTTCTTGATGCACGCAGAAGCAAAAGAATCTAGATCTTCCAAGGCCTTCAAAAGCAGATAAACTGGGTCAAAAATTGGTACTATGATGTAAACGATTACCCTAAATAAAATACAAAAAAACAAATAATTCTATGTTATAAATATGATTCATTAATTCAATTAAAAAATTAATAATATTAATTAAACAATGCATCCAACACTGAGAATTGTGTGGTTTAATTCTGAGCTACAGGTAGAGTGAGGCCAGAGACGAAGTAATAGTACTGGACAATAATTTAGAAGCTTGTTAAAGCCATAATTGTGTGGTCCTAACAAACCTTTTTATCAATTAGTGTCGACTCTGCTCCAAAAGGGTTTGTTGCTCATCAACTTCTCGGCTTTGCTCCAAAAAAGGTTTGTTACTCATCAACTTGTTTTTAAGACAGAGCCCTATGTTGCTTGTCAAAAGCTTCAGACAGCTTGTGTGGTTATTATGAGACCCACATTTTCTCTTTGCATCATTCCCATGATGAAACTGAGACTTCTGCAACCTACACAAATTACATTTTCATTTGTCAATTAACAAATAATTAGTCGAAATCTTATACCAGCAGAAATCATAGACCAAAAAATGAAAAAGGTAAAAGCACTCACCCACATGATTGGATTTCTTACACAAATTTTCCTTGAACCATTTTTCCAATTGGTATTTGAAGCATTACCTTGACCATTTCTAATAGAATTCCCCTGCAACAATTAGAAAGGAAATAAGTTAATTAACAGTCACTACACCTCAATTAACCATGTGTGCACAAAAACGATTCCAAAAATCTGCACCTCAATTGATAATGGCGAAGAATCACAGTGGAGATAACGGCGGAATTTTGGAGAATCCACGCGGTCACTCTGTTCACTTCTCTCTTTCGGTTCATCCGTCAGATTTTAGACGCTTTCAAACGACAAGGTCGAACACTCTACGATTTTGGTGGTTAGGGTTCTGGTTTCGTTTGTCGACGGGGTGAAGGGAGTGATGGAGAAGAAGAGCTGATAAGAGAACAGAGCGACGGCGAAGAGCAATAGAGATGAAGAGAGCGATGGAGATGGAGAAGAGCTGACAAGAGAAGCGTGATGGAGAAGAGCACGAAAGAGAAGACAACGATGGAGATGAAGAGAGCGATGGAAATGGAGAAGAACAATGGAGATGAAGAGAGCGATGGAGATGGAGAAGAGTTGACAGGAGAAGAGCGTGAAAGAGAAGACATCAGTGGAGAAGAAGACTGAAAAAATTGAAAATTGAAATAATAAGGTAAATAAGGAAAGGAAAGAAGAAATAGAAAATTAGAATAAAAAAAAAATAATATTCATTAACAACGTGGCAAGTCATGATGTCTCAGATGATGTGGCATTGCCATATAGACTGTTACATCACTCTGTACAACTCTCTTTGTATTTGTGTTTGTAAGACTAGTATTATTGTTCGGATTATGTGGTCACATGAAATAGTGTCGAACCAGTCGTCACAGCCACAAAATTAAACCTAAATACCGTAGTTAGCGGTAAGCAGGGTCGAATCCACATAGAGCAAGACTAACAACTTAATGTATATTTGAGTAGAGGAAATGAAATTGGCAATTTTGATTAATTAAACTAAACTAACTAAATGCAAATAATAAAAGCGTGAAATTAAAACTAATGAAGACTTTATAATAAAAACATTGCCGCTACGGTTTTGGTTTGACATGAGACCAACTCACACAATTCTCCTCCACCCTCTACGATCCTCTAAACCTACAAGGCAAGGTAAATCAACAAAATGACTTTCCAACACTCTAGATATAATCTATCATGTCTCACCTGATCACTCAAGTTTGATTGGTTAAAGACTATCATTGAATGCCGATAAATGCTACAAGACAATACCACTAGTTGGTACGCGATTAACAAATACAATTTGTCAACACGTATCTTCCAATCAACCAACTTCATAACAAACGCAACAACATTAGAAATGAAATTAAATCCGAACACAACTCAATTACAATCGATGCGAAATAATGAAAAGCAATATTCATCATTTAATTATTTCAAACCAACGTTTATTATTCAGCAAGTTCTATGAAAACATTAAATCACAATGGACAACAATATTCATCACAAATTATGCTCAAACCATATTAAAGTATCGAAATCAAACATGAAACGAAAAAAAATATAATTCGAAACACAATACTACCAAATGTCCTTCAATCAGGCTCATCCAACTAGTCGAGAGCTGATGAGAAGAGCCGTGGAGTCAATCTCGATCTCGCCTATGCCATAATAGACAACCGGGAACTCAACCGCTCATGGTGGTGTTGACGGAGGTTGAAGCGGTGGAAACGAAGCTGATCATGGTGGAGAGGAAGTAACCGACAGCAATATGATGCGAAAAAGGAGTGAAAATGATCAACAGATAGCCCAAAATACGAACAGCCGCGCTTGCCGAAAAACATTAGTTTTCTAGCGGGTCTTCTAGCAAATGGTGGCGGAAATGAGATCCGAAGGTACCAATAGAAAGCTCAGGTGATGGGGAGTTCAGATAAGGTCATGGGGAGATGAAAGGTCGTCGGAAATGGGAGAGATCGCGACTGGAAGGTGAAGAGTCGCGACGATAGGATGGCGGATTCCAATGGTTTAGGCGGCAGTTGAAGCTTGGAATGGATAGATCCGGCCGTGGGGAAGCTAGATCGACCACCAGGGAAGTGCAACGTCACTGGAGTTCGCCGAAAAACAGCTAAATCACGGCTGGAATGCGAAACGCCGCGACGATGCAAGCGTGATCGTGGTGGTGTTGACGGCTGATGAAGATGATCAATGCAAGGGGAATACGAAAGGTCGCCGGAGGTCGTCGAAGCTTGATCAGAGAAGGTGAAGGGTTTTGGTGGGCGGCAGCCCCCAATCTGCGACCTTGCGCTGCACTTTTATACAAAATATGGAAAATTTCGTTTGGTCCCTGCATGATTGAAAAGTGACAAAATCAACCCCAAGTTTTATAACAATTTGACCCCTGAATGGCATAAATGAGACAACATCAACCTTAGAAAATAAATCACATCCTAAAATCAACTTACAAAATCTCAAATTTCAATCCAAACATGCCAAATTAGTAAGAAAAACTCAAAATATGATTTTTATACATAAATTCATAATTTCTCTTAATTATCTCAATATGATTTCATTTTAATCACACATAGGGTCTTTTTATCACCAAAATGGAGTCACTTTCTTGACTCTAACAAATAGACATTATGTATTTGGATTTGGGAATGAAACATCACATGAAACAATTGTTTTAGTGGGAATTGTTTTACTATAACCCAAATTATGTTGTAAGATTCTCTAATATATGGGGGTGAGCACGGGTAGTGGGTAGAACCGGAACCTACCCGGGACTGACACTGTGCGGGTAGGTTCCGGTTCCATTTTATTGGAATCGACACTGTGCGGTTTCGGTTCCGATTCCGATTCCGGTTCTTGTGTGTGGAAGAACCAGAACCAGAACCTAAAAAAAGAACCTAAAACGGGTATCTTGTTTGGAACCTATAGCGGGTACCTAGTTTAGAACCTGTTTGGAACCGATTTTTGGAATCTGCTTGGAACATGTTTTGGAACCTGTTTTGAACCTGTTTTGGAACCTAAACTGCAATGAAATATTTGTGAAATCTGAATAATGGGGGGTTTTTATTATTTTACAGATAAAAAAAATTTAAAATAGAAAAAGTTAAATTTTTAGAATAACCTAATTAAATAAATATACAATTATACTTATTACATATAAATTACACCATATTAAAAACTTTAATATATTATAATATATTAATATTAAAGTTTTGATTAATTAAGTGAATAATTGGAATTATGATCCAATTAAAAGTGTTTTAAATTTTTAATGTTATTAAAAGAATTATTTTTGAATAAAATAGTATATTTGATTGAATAATAATATATTTAGTTATTTACTTCAATTATCAAGTTCTAAGTATATCTATAGTAAATTAACAATTAATTAATTATATATGATAAATTGATAAACATTAATAAATTTTATTACTAGTTAAATATCATACTTAATCAATTATAATTTTATAACATTATTTAATTGATTTATAGTATAATTAATTATAGCATTATATTAATTGATTACTACTTAATTAATTGACTTATAAGTTATAACATAATAAATAGTTAATTAATTGACTTATAATTAGAAAGTTAATTAATTATAGCATTACATTATAGATTTATAGTATAATTACTTAATCAATTATAACATTTCATTATAAACATTAATACAAATTTAATTAAATAATTAAAAATGTAATTAATTATAATATTATATTAAATGTTTATAGTATGATTACTTAATTTAATATAACATTACATTATAATATGATTACATAATTAATTATAACATTACATAATTAAATGATTACTTAATTGATTATGACATTATATTATAAATATTAGTAATTACTAATTTACTACATAAACATAGCACAATACTTAATTAAATAATTAGAAATTTAATTAATTACAACATTACATTATAAATTTATAATACGATTACGTAATTAATTGTAACATTACATTATAATTAAATGATTACTTAATTAATTATAACATTCTATTATAAACAAATTAATTATAATATTATATTAAAGATTTATAGTATGATTACTTAATTCAATGTAACATTTCAATATTTCATTATAGTATTGTTACATAATTAATTATAACATTACATAATTAGATGATTATTTAATTAATTATGACATTATATTATAAAAAATAATTATAATATTATATTATAAACAAATGATTACTTAATTAAATAATTAGAAATTTAATTAATTAAACATTACATTATAGTTAAATAATTACTTAATTAAATTATAACATTATTACATTACATTATATTATATTATGATCACTTAATTAATTATAGTATTACATAGTTAAATGATTACTTAATTAGTTATAAATTTATAACATTACATTATAAACATTAGTAATTTACTACATTATTACATTACTTAATTAAATGATTACAAATTTAATTAATATAAAATTATATTAAAAATCTATAGTCTGACTACTTAATTTACTATAACATTACATTATAGTATGATCACATAATAAATTATAACATTACATAATTAAATAATTACTTAATTGATTATGAGTTATAACATTATATTATAAATATTAGTAATTACTAATTGACTACATAAACATTAACACAATACTTAATTAAATGATTAGAAATTTAATTAATTATAACATTACATTATAAATTTATAGTACGATTACTTAATTAGTTAATTAATTGTAACATCACATATTAATTAAATGATCACTTAATTAATTATAACATTCTATTATAAACAAATTAATTATAATATTATATATTAAAGATTTATAGTATGCTTACTTAATTCATTAGAGTATGATTACATAATTAGTTATAATATTACATAATCAGATGATTATTTAATTGATTATGACATTATATTATGAGCATTAATTGTAACATTACATTATAAACAAATGATTACTTAATTAAATAATCAGAAATTTAATTAATTAAGTATTACATTATAGTTAAATAATTACTCAAATAAATTATAACATTATTATATTACATTATATTATGATCACTTAATTAATTATAACATTACATAGTTAAATGATTACATAATTAGTTATGAATTTATAACATTACATTATAAGCATTAGTAATTTACTATATTATTATATTACTTAATTAAATGATTAAAAATTTAATTAATTATAACATTACCTTATATATTTATAGTATGATTACTTAATCAATTATAATATTCCATTATAAACATTAGTATATTAATTAAATGATTAGAAATTTAATTAATTATAATATTAAATTATAGATTTATAGTATGATTACTTAATTCATTATAACATATTAACATTACATTATACTATTATAGTATGATCATATAATTAATATAACATTACATAATTAAAATATTAAATGATTACTTAATTGATTATGACATTTTATTATAAACATTAGTAATTTACTAATTTACACAATACTTAATTAAATGATTAGAATTTTATTAATTATAACATTACATTATAAATTTATAGTATGATTACTTAATTAATTATAGCATTCTATTATAAATAATATTACAATACTTAATTAAATGATTAATAA